GATTTAAGCAGAAGCCTCAAGGCTTGTTATGACCAGCCATAGAAATCCCAGAATACTATTTCCACTATCTTGGACTGACCAAACAAACCACGTTTAGGAGGAGAATTAGACCATACTTGATGTGATGAACAACATGCATTAGCAGATAGAGAGAAAATCAGTGGAGTTAGATCTCAGTAGGCTTCTCTCCCAGTATAAAGTCATATGAGAAGCAAACCTATTTGTAGAAGGAACAGAAAAGTGCTTTATCTCTTTTATGTGAAGGGGGAAAATATCTTCCCTGAAAGATTTTAATCATGAGCTAATTACTTGGAAGTTTACAGAAGAATTTGCAATTCCAATATATTTTTGTAAAACAAAAAAGTGGCAAATTTAATTTAATGTGGTTGCAAGGTTATTATGCACTCCAAAACCTGATAGATATAAATATGAAAACTCTCTAATGGTATGTCAATATAAGTCTTTAAAATTCCCAATGAAAAATTTTAAAACAACAAGGGCTTATAGATAATTTCACAAAACACACGATATGCCATGGGTGAGAGACAGCCAAAATGACAGACAGCAAGATCTGATTGACAAAGACCTCATAGGAGAATTGTTAGATGCAGAGCATAAAATGTGTACTTCAGTTAATTAGAGTGAAGAGATCATGTTTCCTCCAAAACAAGACCTAACCAGAAAATAATCAGTCTTGAAAATAATAGATCAAAAATGCCAGCCCCAATCTCCTTGCCTTATTTATCATTACACAGTAACATATTACAGAGTAGCTACCAAGCAAGAGAATAATGAGGCATAATCTACATGACCCTGGCCATTACTAAGGAACTGAAAAGCACTTATTTTTTGATTAGTTCCCTTTTGGAGAGAAACACAGAATTAACAAGCATAAGAAACTATAAATTACAACCATGCCACTTCAAAAAAATGCATTTCAAGGAATGACAAGAAAAATATAAATGTCTTTTGGTATCCATGGGGAGTGGGTTTCAGGACTCCTAAGCAATAGCAAAATCTGTGGAGACTCAAGTCCTTATATAAAAGAGCATAGTAATTAAATAACATAACCTATGTTTGTCCTCCCATGGATTTTAAATCAAGTTTAAGTTGCTAATACTAAGACAATGCTATATAAGTGATAATACTGTTTAAGGGCTAATGACAGGAAAAAGAAGTCTATAAATGTTTAGGACAGACAAAACATTTTTTTCCAAATAGTTTCCATGTGTGGTTTGTTGAATCCATGGATACAGAATTTACAGATATGGAAGATCTGCTATAATAAAAATAAAAACTGCAAAACATGAGTTTAACATTGGTTTAAACACAACTGAATTCAAATCAGATTAGTGAAAAACAAATCTATCACTCTACAAATCATAGCAATACATCAAATCACCAAAGACAAAAAGAAGATATTAAGGCCAACCTGGAAGAAAATCAGTTCATCTGTGAGACAATACCACTGTACAGTTCAGTACAATAGATAAGAGTATGGGGCCCAGATTGGCTGATGAAGGGTTAGCCAAATAGCTCAGTGGATTAGAGTGCCTGTAAGCAGGTACAGGGGCTAGGGGTTCAAGCCCCAGGCCTGCTGCCTTCCCCCTGGGGCACACTGAGCTGGACAAATGAGACTGCACAGGCTTAGTGGTGCATTCGTATAATTCCAGCACTTGGGAGGCTATCAACAGGCGCATCACTAAGAGTCTGATCTAGTAGTGAGACCCTGAACACCCTGTAGACCCTTCTCTAAAATACAAAAACAAAACAAAACAAATAAAAAGATTAGCTGATGAGAAGATAAATTGTGGAACTGTCCTGATTGGATTTCAACATTGGTTCCATCATTTCCAAGTGTAGTACATTTTGGAAAGTTACTTCAAGTAATTTCTCTATGATTCAGTTTCCTCACCTGTGAAGTATGATTAATAACATTTTCAGTTTCTTATATTACATGAATTTCCACATTCGTTTTTTAGATGGAAGCCTCTCATGAGTAAATACTAGCCATGGTTAACTTTCTCTCCTTTCATGCAACACTAGCCATTATTAATAAAGGAATGACAACTGGACAGTCAACATCTTTTCAGTAACAAGAACCTGCAAAAGATAGTTAACTATAAGTCTGAAATTCTAGATTTGCACACATACTTATCACTATCTTTGTTTACTCTTCCTTCTCCTATTAAAACTGTCTATCTGTTATCACTTTTCTGTTGCCAAGAATGCAACCTTTGTAATTTCATTCTGTGACTGAGGAATCTCTCTCTCTCTCTCTCTCTCTCTCTCTCTCTCTCTCTCTCTGTCTCCTCCTCCTCCTCTTCTCCCCATTGTTTCTGTTGTCAGTGTCCAGTTTATATTTCTGGTGGCCTTTATATTCTTCTTGTTTCTTTAAAAACTTTAAATTAATTGAATTTTGAAATTTAACTTACTTTTTTATTTTATTTTAGCAATGCACAGTCACAAATTATTCACAAATAGTTGAGTCATTCTCGAAAAGTTCCCACCCTACCATCTCTCCTCCAACTTCTTCCCAAAGGAAATCTCTGTTCATTATTTTTTCTGCTTTTTTTTTGCTATGTACCTGTACTGTTAAATATCATACTCATACAGTTATTTCCCAGGTTTTCTCTCTGATGGAAAATAGGAACTATGGTCTCTTAGACACCTGACCCTCCCACATGCACACCTTCTGCTCTTGCTTCTTGAAAAAATTATATCATTATATTTCTATATTTATGTTATTCTGTATGTAAATGTCATTCACAGCTGAACCATGTAGTGCACTATGTAATATTCCTTCTATCACACAATTTCTTTTTCCCTAGCTTTCAAAAACTGCATTATCTTTTTGTTGGTCTGTTTTCTATGCTTCATCACCAGTTTATCTCAAGCTCTTCAAGAGAGATATAAATCCCTTAAATGTGTGCAAATCAACTGCATTTTTTAATTTTCTTGGAGATGTCCTATATAGAATCCTTGAGATTTTTGTTCCAATCCATATAAGTTGTTTTCTAGCTCTGTTAAGTATTTGTGTGTGTGTGTGTGTGTGTGTGTGTGTGTGTGTGTGCGTGTGTGTAACCAGGGATTGAACTCAGGTCCTTGCGCTTGCCAAGGAAGCACTTATTCCACTGAGCCATCTCCTTGGCCCTCTGTTAAGTATTAACATCCTGGTAGTTCACATCACATTTCTCCTGTGTTAGATTGTTTCTTAATTCTCTCTTGATTCAATTTCTTATTTCAGAGGAACAAATCCTCAAATAGCTTTTTCATTAAAGGCTTCAACAAAATGTTGAGAGGCCTTTCATACTGAAAATATCTCTAACTACCCTCTTATTTATTTGATCATATTTTTGTGTCAGGGCCTTTCCTCAGATGTGTAGTGATTACTTACAATTGTTCATAAATCAAGAGTGAGGCTATAACAAATTGTGGAAAGGATTCACTGTGTGTGGGCTTCACTCTCAAGTAGATAATAAGGCAGATGCTCAGTCTTGGGGTTGGAAGGTTCCCAACCATCCATATCTGTCTACCTTTCTCCTAGGAAAGGGTGGTTTCCCCATAAGTGGATGCTCCAGGGTTTTGCCTTGATAGCTATCCATATGTCATTCTGTTAGGTGAATAAGGGAAGGCACCAGGGTCCTTAATTCGTGTAAAGATTGCCTTAGTTTCTCCCTAAGATCAAAACACTACACTATGCACTGTACTGGAGGTCAGTATACAACCTAAATTTTTTTTGAAAAGATGAGGAGGAAACTAGCCCTAGTAAGAGAAGAGAACTCTTGTTTTCAACCAGTGCTCCTTGAGTTTCTCAAGAAATATTAATCAATCAAGTAATTAATTAACTGAAGATTACCCAGTCAATATTTCTTCATGGAAGTTTTTAAAAATTCATATTAAATGTATGAACTTGATCACATTTCTTAATTTCTCTGAGCTTCCTTCTCTTCATGTGTGAAGTGAAAACTACCCTAGAGTTTATACGTGAGGGTATTGTAGGATTAATGGACATAAAGAGCCTGGCACAGTTCCCTAGCACAAAGAGACTGCTCATTGTTGGCAGTATGGTAATCATGGTGGTAGTCAATGGTAATATCCTTAGCCTTGTTTCAGCAGACAAAAACTATACACTCCCATTATCAGGTGATTTTCTTGCATTCTCTATCCACGTTCTGCTGCAATTCTAATAGACTTTGGGGGCAAGGAGATACAACGACCTCTGCAAACTGTTCTTCACCCTACCTTCCCCAAACCAAACCTTGCTGAACCAAACCATCAAAGTCTCCTCTTTTATTCTGGTTCCCATCTTTACGGATCAGTGTGTAAAACTGAAAACTTCAGTGATTGCAGTACAAACTCAAGTCTGAAGGTGAAATCGAGATCTGTGACTACCTTTTCTCCCCCATTCCACACACAATTCCTCCACCCACTACGTCAATGTCCTACCCACCACTTCCCAGTCCTCCAGTCCTTCTCATCCCCTTGGTCAAAAACAGGTAAAGGGGACATTTTTATTTCAGTGTGTTAGAGCACACTCTCAGGGAAAGATCAAATGTTTCTTTTTTGATATGTACTGTTAGCACTTCTTGCCCAATCTTTCTTCCCCTTTTCTCTCAATGTTCCTGCTTGGGTCTTGACCTGCTTTGTCATAGGGCAAGCTTCCCTCTTCACACTTAAAATCTTCCCTGAATTCTTAGGATGTGCTTTTTATCTCCACTGGGGCTTCCAGGAGGTGTATTAAGTGGCTGTATCTCAAGGAATTTAATAGGAAAGAGGAGCTTGGGGAGCTTGGGAAGTTGGGAATGTCTTAAACTTAGGAACTTAAAATTTTTGATGAGTCAAACATGTGAAATGGATCTAATGAAAAGCAGGACCACTGTGCCTGACATTTGCCTCCAATCTGACATTTAACACCTAAGATTCTAGTAGGGATTTTTTCCTCTTACAACCTTCATTGAGGCTCAATCACTGAAAATACACCCAGTGAAGTTTCTAACGTAGGCCTTATTAACAAAAGTCATAGTCAATTAAACGTGGAGATCAACATCAGTTGGGAATGATGCAAGTACAAAGTAATTCAGAGACTATGAGTAAATGAAGGGCACAAGACATGTGAACAAGTTTCACCTACTAACTCCTTACAGTCTTGTTTCTGTTTTCAGTCACAGACAAACGGGAAAACTGCACTTTATCTTTGCCTTCTGCAGGCGGTCTCTTATGAATACAGCCCTCAATTTATCCTTGAAATTCTCCCCAGCAAAGTAATAGAGAAAAGGATTGAAGCAACTATTAGCTGCTGCCAAGGCCAGTGTGATAACTACAGCTTTGTGCAGCCCATCTCCACATGAATCCTTATTCCATGTGATCAGATGGAGGGTCCTCAGTGTATGGTAAGGCAGGAAACACAGGAGGAAGATGATCAGGGCAATGATGATGGTGGTCAGTGCTTTCCTGTGAGAAGCTCGTAAGCTTGATTCTGGGATCTCCACCTTTAACAGGACCCGAATGATGAGCAGGTAACACAGGCTGAGAGTGCAGAATGGCAGCAGGAAGCCTACAGCCAGGGCAATGTGGTTCATGATCAGCAGCTTACCAAACTTCTGGGAATCCAGCTCCAAGCATGTTGTGATGTTGTTCTTAAGCTCAGAGCCACTCTTCAGAAGCAAAGCTGAGGAAGCCATGATAAAGAGCCATATGACCCCACATAGGATCCAAGCACTTCTAAAGCTGGTGACATGGAGAAGCCGGAAGGGGTGCACGGTGGCCAGGAACCGCACAACACTCAGCACAGTTAGGAAATAAATGCTCGTGTACATGTTGACATACAAGGAATAAGACATAATCCGGCAGGCCAGGTCCCCAAATATCCAGTTGGAGCTGTTCAAGTAGTAATGAGCCCTGAAGGGCAGAGTGCTTATGAATAGGAGATCTGACATGGCCAGGTTGAGCATAAAAACATTCACAGAAGTGGACTTCTTATAAGTCTGCAGGAAAACATAAATTGACAAGCCATTTCCCAAGGCTCCCCAGACAAATATTATCAGGTATGCAACTGGGTAAAATTCTTTCTTGAAGCTTTCAATCATGCAGTTCTTGCTGCTGCTGTTGTTTGCTTCCATTTCTGATATGAAGCCGACCAGAGATAGGACACAGTTTTTCTCTCTATGCAGGATTAAAAAGAAACAGACACAAAAATTTATTTTGTACATTTTATTTTTCCTTCCTGTGCACAGATTATCTAACTTTGTGGGTTTTAATGACATGGTAAAATTTTTCAAACTTTGAAATTTTAGCTGAAAAATGTTGGTTAGGTCTTTATGTTGCATCATATTCATAATTTATAAAATACAGACTATGCAATAGTTTAGTTGCCTGGAGCTGGAGCCTCAGATTTAGGAGACTTTCAACCTTGTACTCATGTTCAGTAGTACCTTCTAATGATGCTACAGTCCAAATCTCCTAAACAGCAGATTTCTCATGGAACTACAGAGGGCAAAAGAGATAGCATGATGTTCCTCAAGTACTGAAAGAAAAGACTTTGCATTCTATATCCAGCAAAAATATCTCACAGATGTGAATAAGAAATAATAAAGACTCAGCAAATGGAAAACTGAAATTTTTTTTTCCAGAAGCTCTACTCTAAAAGGGTAACCAGGAGCTAGGGAGATAGCTCACAGTCTACCGGCAGTCTAAGCGGCTGCCTGGCAAACTCAAGGTCACAAGTTTGTTTGTTTGTTTGTTTGTTTGGCAGAACCGGGGATTGAACTCAGGCCATCGCGCTTGCCAGGGAAGTGCTTATTCCACTGAGCCATCTCCCCGGCCCCAAGGTCACAAGTTTGATGTCTGATAATGCATGAGGTGCTGGCCCGGAACCCCAGGCACACCAAGATGGCCCCAAAACCAGGTATGGTGATGCATGTCTGTAATCCCAGCACTGGGAGGCTGAGACAGGAGGATCACTATGAGTCTGAGTTGCATGGCAAGACCCTGTATCAAATAAATAAATGAATAAATAAATAAATTTAAAGGATGATCAAAGGAAATTCTCTTAAAAGGAAAGAATTGATAGAAAAGGAAAGTTGAAACATCAGAAAAGAAGAAAGAACATGACTAGCAAAAATATAGAATCAATATAGCAGGAATCCCTTTTATTTTTGAGTTTAGTATGTCTCAAAAAAACTATAAAAGTATCAGATACAATTTTAAATGGATGTTATATAAATTATCGATATTTGAAACAAAAACTATAAACCTGTCTGGTGTGGTTATGGATAGATGTAGACTAATTATTTAATATAATTATATTATACATCAAGAGACATAAAAAGATAGAGCTAAAGTTCATTTGATGTTAATGGATTTTGATAAATAATGTTTATATAATCTGATAAGTAGATCAACTAAAAATGGTCATACAAAAAGGTACACTCAAAACCACTACAGAAAAACCAAAATGAATTTTTTTAATGTATTTAGTATGGGGTCTACAAGGTCTCATTACATAGATCAGACTTGTAGTGATCCTCCTATTTTCAGCTTCCCAAGCACAGGGATTATAGGAGTGCTCCAGCATGGCCAATCTCCGTCGCTGTCTCAGTACACCCCAGGGACAGGGCTGGCATGACTTGTGGTGAGAATGAAATTTTAAAAGAGTTCAAATAACCAATAGGAAGGTAGAGAGAAGAAAACAGATAGTATAAACAGAAAACAAAAATTTAAATAGCAGACTTTTCTTTAATAATTAATAATTATATTAACTATGAATGGTCTGAATAAACCAACTAAAAGGTAGTTTGATTGACTGGAATACAAAAATTGTTATACAGACTGAAAGAAATTTAACTCAAATAGCAATATTGTCAGATTAAAAGTAAAAACATAAAAGTATAGCTCATATATAAAGTGATACAGTCATTCAGGAAAACAATTTGGCAATTTCCATAAAAACTAAACATGAGGGCTGGGAAGATAGCTCAGTGGTATAGGTGCCTGCCTGGCAAGCATAAGGTCCTGAGTTCTATCCCCAGTACTGAAAAAAAAAAAAAAACTAAACATGAAACTATAATACAATCAACTAATTGTATCCTAGACATTTATTCCAGGGAAGTAAAAACTTATTTTTGCATAAAAAACATGTCCATGAGTGATTATGTATAATATCCCCAAAATGAGATCACTCAGATACCCTTCAATGGTTTTACAGAGAAAGACTAAATTACTGATATGGAGAACAACCTGAATAAATTTCCAGGGAATTATGCTATGTGAAAAAATAATAGCAAAAAAATTACCTATATATGATTCCATTTATACAAAATCCTTAGGATGACAAAATGGAAGAAAAGGAGGATGCAGGTTAGCAGTTTCCAGGAACTGAGAAAATGAGGATGGAAAGAATACATAACTGTAAAAGAACAGCTTGAGAAATCCTCCTAGTGATGCAAACATCCTGCATCATGACTGTGTTAAGGTCATTATCTTGGTCTGTTAACACACTATAGTTTTGCAAGATAATATCATCAAAAGAAAGGATATGAGATATTTCTCCATTATTTCTTACAACTACACGAGGATCTATAATTATGTCAAAATAAAAAGTTTAATTTTAAAGAAAGGTTGGGAGATGCAGCTCCATGGTAGAGCTTTGGCCTACCCTACAAGAGCCCATAGGTTCACTTTCACTCCCCAGCACTTCAAAAAGAATGAAGTTAGGGAGATGTTTGATTAGTTTTCTCTCATTGCTGAGACAAAATACCTGATGCACAAAAATAATGAAGGAAAGGTTTATTTAGCTCACAGTTTGCAGATATTTCAGTCCATACTCAATTGGCTCCAAGGCAGTGTGGCCCATGGCAGAGGGCAACCATTCATAGTGGCCGGAAAGAGCAAAAGCAGAAAGAGCAGTAAGGGAGGAGCCAAGTGCAAGCTTCTTTCCCTCCTTTACATTGTATGCAGGCTGCCTGCCCCAGGGTGTGTTCTGCACTCACACTTCAACAAAATATCAGAGCTGAATTCAGTGTGAACTTATCTGTGGCCATGGACAGGGGTCTCAGATCTTTGTGCTGAGAATAGTTGCTCAAGGCAGCAAGAACTTCAGGTAGATCTTGGTAAAATTCAATTTCTGTCGCTGCTTTGCAGCCCAAGACCACCAGAGACATAGCTGTTATTGCCAAAATTGCATACCTGTTATTGCCCACCACTGCATGAGGCTTTGGGGGAGCATCTAGATACCACCCATAACATGAGGGAGGCAGGGAGAGGGGGAAAAGAACAAAAGTAAAAGGTATAGTTTTTACAGGGCACTCTGGATGGCTGCAGCATTCCTTCTAGAAAGAACTGCTCAATAGTCTTTGTGTGTAGAAAAATGCAGAGATTTCACAAGGCTACCTTCCCCACATGCACTACTCCTGCCCAACTTGTTCACACCACTATTAGAACAAATCCCTCTATTCATTAAGAGAATGTAAATATATATCTATCCTAACCATTTTGAATACAAAGATACAAGATGGACATTCATCTGTATTCCCTTTTCTTGTTTAGTTCCATTATTTGAATATTATAGGTGTGTTGACTCAGGAAAATATTCTAAAAGAGTTCAGTAGCCCATAATAGTATTGGGTCTTCTGCTTCATTGGCAATGTCAGAAATTGTTGACCTGAATCCCCTACAGCTCAACATAACAGCATGGCTTTACTTATTATACTTCGTTTTTATATTTTTCTGCTGGATGGTTAAGACCAAGGTAAAGCAAGACCTATGCAACAAGAGTTGTAGCTTTTGGGTCTGTTAAGGTCAGTGAAATCCCCTCAGGATTTATCCTGAGATCCTGTACCTCAGATTGTAGAACCTTTGTCAGTATCAGCCATGTGGATGAGTCACGGCCATTGCTTGGCCAATGTGCTCTCTGTGAAAGCCTGAGGAAATGTTTTCTCTCCATGTGACTCTCCTTAGGCACACTCTACATCATCAATCACTTTCCTCTTTGGCCCCATAATATCCTTGATCAGAAAATTTGGGACACTACTGAGTTACATGATGTTACAGTACAAGTTCTCATATGTCCTGAGTTTTAATTGATCTTGGAAGGCTAGGGCCAAAAAGTTGGCTTTCCTTTCAGGCCTCCTTTTTCTCTAATTTTGGTCTGCAAACCTATGTTGTTAACCATCCAGAAGACAAGCTTATTGTTATTACCATACAACCTAGGGCACTCAACAGTCTTGCTGCAAATATAATAAAAACAATTTGGGCAATAACAACTATGTCTCTGGTGGTCTTGGGCTGCAAAGCAGTGACAAAAGTTGAATTTTATCAAGATTGACCTGAAGTTCTTGCTGCCTTGAGCAACTATCCTCAGTACAGAGATCTGAGACCCATGACGAGGGCCACAGATAAGTTCACACTGATTTCAGCTCTAATATTTTGTTGAAGACCTTCAGTAATGCAGCATTTTTCTTTTCCTGATAATAACTCCTCTGGAATTTTCAGTTATCTGATGAGATTTATAAATATGGTAAACTGAAAAAATTGTTTTCTACCTTTTATAATTTATTTCCTGAGTATTGTTTTAAGAGGAAGAAAATCATAACAAAAAGATTAGCAAGGGCCTAATCAGTCTGACATCGCTACTGACTTCCACAGACAGAGAGCTTAGAAACTGGCATTCTTTATTATTATTATTATTATTATTATTATTATTATTAATTTATTTATTTGATACTGGGTCTCACTGTGCAGTTCAGATTCATAGTAGTCCTCCTATCTCAGCCTCCCCAGCACTGGGATTAAAGGCATACACCACTACACCTGGTTTTGGGACTGGCATAGCAAGCCCGGTATTCCAGGTCCAGCAAGACATATGGTACTGGGGATTGAGCCCTGGTCCTTGCACTTGCCAGGCAGGTGCTTAGACTGCAGAGCTATCTCCCCAGCTTGAAACTGGCATACTTTACATCAATTTTTTGTCATCATTTCAAGGACTTCCTCTGGCTTATCTTTGTGACTGTGTTTGCCTAAATTTCAGGGACATGGATCAGACATGCCACGTCTAGAGACCAATGGAGTTCAACCTAAAACAGGTCCTCTTCCAGCCAGATATCTTGCTTCAGATTTCTTCACTGTAACACCAGGGTGCATACTTATCTCTACAAGGGGCACAATTT